CGTCGGTATTTTTTTCTTTATATTTTTTCATTATTATTTCCCATAATAAAATAACAAAACAAATTACAAATTTAACAGCTATTTAAATAATTAACTAGTTGAACAATAAAATAATCAAAATAAGCCGGCTATCTTTAAAATTCTAATATAGGTACCTATATCTGTACCTGTACCTATGTTACCTATACCTGGTAATTATCTATTTCATGGGTGTGGGCAATTTTTTTTCACATCAATTCAATAATCTTAAATTAATTTTAATAGTATTAAACATACGTATATACTCACCACCTACGTAATTTTTTACAAGGTACACTCTAATTTAGTAAAACAGTAAGTTTGTATACGTCTTACCCACGTATATCCTCCAAAACTCATCTGGCTGTGTCGAATGCAAATAGTTTTATTTCAATCGCACGCTAATATAATAATATATAACAATAAGCGAATAATCATGACAATACATAATTATTATTGTGCATTAAATTATTATGGTTGTATATTCACAAATTCACATGATTCACGCAATTAAATTTGGCTTATATTATACACTATGTCACTATAGACAAAAATTAGTAAATTAAGTGTTAAAGTATTAAACTGAAAGATTATATCCTATAATTTATAGGCATATTATAATTTATAATATACACCTATATGTACCCACAACCCACTTAACAATTTTAAATAACTAGATAAGTTACGTTATATACGTTGTTTGTGAAATAAAATACTGAAATACCCATAACAAAGGCCATCGTATACAGAGGTGATTGTCGTTGATGTCTAACGAATTTTTAGTGCTGATGAGCTAAATATCATAGAGAGAAATAAAAGATAAAGGTAGAAGAACGAGTTTGAAGCGTCGTTCACTCCTGCACAAATTACATGATAAATTTCATTAAAGCGTTACCTACCTTTTTCAACATAATTAAATCGGGATTTATTGCAGTTTTTAACGTTAGAATAAACGTATAGGTATTTACTAAAATTGAGCATAACATCATGTCATCTTAAAGAGAAGTTAAACTGATTTTAAAATTGTATGAAGCAATATGCATATACAAATGTAATGCTATATTGGCCTTAGTAGTCAAAGCAGAAATTATTAAAATGTCAAGACAAATAAAAAAAATTTGTTTTTATTCATTTAATAAAATTCTAAAATATTTGAATGGTTTTATGCAATCCTTGGATATTTTAGATTCATACAAGTATAAATTATGTTAAAAGTATAATATACAATTTCAACATATCAGGGACCCGAAATACGAATAATATTCAATGAATCTGGATGTGGGACGCTTTTTAGTATGGGACTTCCTGTACTATATATTATAATTTAATATAACTTTAAATTTTTTGAGCGTTTCCATATTTAACTGTTTACTATTACTAAATTATTTTTTTCCGTGCACCCAGAGAGTTCCTATATAATATTATGATATGTAGGTGTCAGTGTCGTAGATAGGAATTTAATATGGGGTGGAGCCATGAAGGTTTATCATCGTAAAAAAACATTAAAATATGTTAGTAACTTTAAATGTTTGTAAATATACATTTACATAAACTTTCCATGTTAAAAGGAGAAAAGGTTGAATCGCTAACACCCCTCCCCCCGTGTCTAAGGCCCTGGTAGATGTATAAGATTATGTGATTAATAATCTCGTTATTTATTTGGATGATCGAAAATCACAAAGCATCATTCATACCGTATAAACCATAAAGACTAGAATATTGGTGTGATTACACTTTTCGCCCACAGTGAACCGGTGGTAAAAAGAGAAAGAATAGTAAATATTGTAAACATTTTTTTGATTGAAAATTTAAAAAAAATCTCAACAGGTGGGAAAAATTATTGAGAAATAAAATAAAAAAATTAAATTAACGAGGGCTCAATATGTGAAAATTATGTCGCATTACTATGAACTAAAATTGATATAAGAAAACAACTTATTATATTATTATTATTTACTCTAGGTATAATTTTGGAAAAGGACAATAAGGCCGTCTTATTGTCACCTTGCCGTATAATTTACCTAATAAAAAAAATTTTTAATTTAAAACTTTATAGGTAGGTACCTAGCTAGGTATATCCACCCATTATTTAATTAAAAAGACAATTTTTACAACTTTTGGATGACAGTGATGGCCGTCTCCTCGTGGTGTCCTCTGGGTAATAGTACTTTATAGCAAATGGCTATCATAATATTATTATATACAAATATCCTCTGCAGGGAGCTATGTAATGTATTGGTCACAGTTTACTACACAGACATTTATTATTCATACCTGAAATGAGTAAAATATAGATATTGGGTGACATTTAATTAAAAAAAGGTGCTCTGCTGTACAGTACGTTACAAGTGGGTCACTGTATAATGGATGGTATTAAATTTGAATTCAATGATATAATATCATTGTATAAGAAAAACGATTCTGAGCGGAGACGGTAAGTCAGTCTGGTTTAAGACATACTATATACATATCTATGGTATTAAAAAAAATTAACCTAAAATAGGTACCTATAATAAATTCCAAATTAACCATATCACAATATCCATTAGGTACTTATAACGCGTAATACATCAACAAAACTCGTGATACTATCCTAGATATATAATAGTGTACTTTAGAAGTTTCAAGTACCCACGAATAATATTATACACTCACAACAAAATAACTGAAATATAGTTATTCTAGGTTTTTATTATGTAATTTCGTCCAAATTTGAACTTAAAATGACTATAAAATCAAACTTTGCTCATGTATTTTTTAGATTTTTTGGTAACAAAATCAACTACTTACGTGGAATCTTGTTTTAAATTTTTAATCCTTAGATATAAAAGTTGAACATTTTTTAAATTTTTAACTACAACATAATTATTCAATTTTCAATCTTTAAATGCTTATAAAAAAAAATGTGCCTATGTATTTTAAATATTTTTCAACTGATATTGTAACAATATATCAGAAGCCTTGTATTAAGTTTTTACACTTTTTGGCAAAACAGATAAAACTTTATTGATATTTATTGAAAAAAAAACTAAAAAAATTGAAAACTGACAATGTCCGTCAACAGCTCAAAAAGAGTTAAAATATTCTCCAAATTGTATGGTGTATAGGAAATGCTAACATAAACATTCAGGGAAATTTTTAAGTATCTACAGTCATTCGTTTTTTAATTATAACAAAATAAGAAAAGTGTTACATGAGAAATCGAGTGAATATCAAATGTTGTAAAAATATGAATTTCAAATGCTCATAAAAATTTAATTTGAGTTTCTTGTAGACATTTTTTTTTTTTTTGATAAAGGTAGACAAACTTATGAGGAATCTTGTATTACATTTTCAAATCTTTGATTTAAAAAGAAAATTATTTATGAATTTCTAACTAGAAATAATTTTCAAATTTTCGTCATTTTGACGTATTTTGTCAATATTTGAACTTTAAATGCTCATAAAAAAAAAACTGTGACTAAGGATTTTTAATTTTTTTCATCTACCTTTGAAACAATATACTAGAAGCCTTCTATTAAATTTTCAAGCTTACTAAAACCAACAAATAAAATTGTATTGATATTTTTTGAAAAAAAACTAAAAAAAAAAATGGAAACTGAAAATCCGTAAAGAGCTCTAAATAAGTCAAAATATTTGGAAAATGTTATGGTGTGTAGAAAATTTTAATATAAACATTCAGTCGAAATGTCATGTATCTATGGTCATTTGTTTAAGAGTAGCATCAAAAACCAAAATCGATTTTCTCAAAAACAGATTTTGAGTAAAAATTCCCGTTTTTCCTTAATTTTTCTTTTGTTTTTCAAGGCAACTATTAAGAAATTTTTCTTTTGACCCCCCCCAAAGTACCAACTAGATTCACTTTCCTATCAGAAAAGATACTGTTGAAGGAAATCCAAGCACTTTTACTATCCTAAAACAGTGAAACTGTGATGACAGACACAAAAATAAATAAAAATAAAAAAAAAAACACACATCATTGTAAAATCAATACATTCATCGTTCCACTCAGAATCTAAAAATGAATGCGTCATGAAATATTTTATTTTACGTAATTTACGTTTGTCCGAATATTATTACAATTAATAGTATTACACTTACGCCATCTAGTCAGTAGTCAGTAGACCTATCCTCCTATGATAATATAAATTATTATCATATTATTACACACGTTGTCCCCCCTTCCTCACACAACCATTCCGACCACAAGGTCGACACGCCTCGTGGAGACTGCGGTGCCCGGGCTATTATAATACTTGTATAATTACAATAGTTGTATGGTACCGCATTTTGCTCTAAAATGTAATATAACGGTTGACCTCAATAAAAAAAACGTATAAAAACAAAGAGCCGTGTTGGAGTAGGTACACATCGATGTTTACGTCGAGGTATCGCAAATTCTACGCGTCGACATCGAGTGGGCTATAATAATAATAATAATAATAATAATAATATGATGTACATAATGATAACAGCGATACTACGATACGAACGCGCGCGCGCGCTTCGCCGAAATCGATTGTAGAGTACCTTTACAGCTGCCGTCGCGAGACGACGATGTTTCGAGTGTTATTTACATTGCGATAAATATACGACCACAGGCTCAAGGTTTATAAGGTGGGTGGGTATCTACTCATTAAAGCATTACGCATATATTATAGGTATCACGACCGATGTAGATCTTCGTATTATAGGTAATAGGTACCTATCCATATTAATATCGTCGTCACCGTCGTCTCGTTTTTGATGTTTTCGCGCTTTTTACAGATCAGCGTGGTTCGATTCGACTCAACACTATCTCGATAAACTTGTACAGCGGAGTCCCATCTGTATATAGACTATCACATCAGGCAACAGCTGCGCACGTGTCGTATTCGATTAATATATTATAATATAATATTATTATTATATACATATATATACATAAATACATAATATACAACACACTTACCAACCTCCACCGTCCAACGACATCCGTCAACATGTTGATGCTGTTAAGAATCGCCGAAATGGTAAGAACATCAACTGCTCTGGACCGTTTAATAGTATAATATAAATTATTATAAGTTTAAAAACAAAATTCGTTTGAAATCAATTGTTATAATACCTACTTAATATTATATTAGTATATATTATCTATCGTTTAAAAGACCGCTCATTGGCGCTCAAATTTGAATTTCTTCTATAGACGTGTGGAAAATCGGCTGATGACGGTTATAACGTAATAATAAATTATAATGTATAATTAAATCACGTATATCGGATGTAACTATGTAGGAACTTTAATTAGTTGGTAAAATAAATCCCGATTTCGGCATACCTAGATATTAAAGGTTCTTACTACAAGCTCAACGTCTAAAATCATATTATAGGTATTATCTTAACCTGAAAAATATAAAAATATCCATGATTATAATTTATGTTATTCTTATTTACTGGGTTAGGCCGGTTAGGGTGTTAATGACTTATATATAGTTACATTATTAACATATTTTTACTTTTAGTCTTGCGCATTATAGAACAAATTATAAATTCATTTAGTACTTTGGTACCTATGTGTGACGTTAAAGCAGTTATATACATTTTATATTCGGTTTTTTTTGGATTTACATTTTTTCAAATATTTTATTACATTATACATTTTGAGCGGAGGTAATATTGTATTCATTTTACTATAAAGTGGTTATTTGTGCGAAGATACTTTTCTTATAGAAAAATTGCTTTGATCTCCAACCGTGAGCTGGTGCCATCTAGTAGAAATTAGATCTAGTTGGTACATTGGAGAAAGAGAGTCAAAAGTTCATAACGCTTTTAATAATAATAGGGAAAATAAAAAAAGACGTTGTTTTGAAGTTAATATAGGTGTGCAGGTGTGCAATTATAGGTAATACAAATTATACTGTGCTTCGAGCTTATTTAAATATAATTGTATAGCTGATATTTTTGATACATAATAAATAACTTATAATAACTTTTTATCAATTTTCAAATTATTATTTTCATTTCATTAACAATGCATGTCCCCTGTTCTGTAGTAATAAATAATAATATGACGCTTAGCTGTAAACATCAACAAACAAACTTTCTCTGGAGTTGTTTTTAATTTTAAATTGTAATTTAATATATTTTATAATAACGAGAGAAAACTAATGTTATGACTCAACGTAGCATTAAAAATTAAAATGCATGCGAAATTCCGAGTGTAAACAGTTATTAAAATCTACTGGATTCTAAAAAAATGTTTGGAATCGTGTTGGACTCCAATTTTCAACAGACATGAGTTGTTACTTGTTAATATAATATATATGCATATATTTCATATTTTCGTATAATATTAGTCCTTCCTGACGTTCGCGTTAAACCACAAATCCTGATCACGCACGTGCAATGCGGCGACGACAAAATATAATACATGGGTGACACACTACCACAATATATTATAATATCATATTTTACTTATGATATCATTGTTATAAAATATAAACTTATAACTTATAAATATTGTGGTTATTCACTGCCGCAACATCAACCACGTGTCCACGTGTACGTATTAATGTGTTATTGTGCTGAAACAAAAAAAAAAAACAAATTTAAACAAAAAACTATATAGGTACGCTGTTTATTCGATTTTCTATTTTATTCGCCATCGTACATATGCTTTAAGACTTTAAAGAACTATTATTTTGATAAATTTTAATTTTGCGATTATTCTGTCTAATATTGTAAATTGTTTGTAATAACTAATATAAGTATCCAATATTCTTATGCGCATTAATGCGGCTGAACGAAATGAATGGAATAAAAAAAAAAAAAATTATATTTAATAAAACAAAATAATACTACATCTATCACGAAAATACCTTTCTTCATACCCTAATACCCTATATTGTTTTCAATTTGTTCATAAATGTCATATCATATAATTTTGCTATGTCCTACTCCACCTTAAGAGGTGGTGTTATCGTAAGAAAAATAACTCTTTTTGATCCAATGTTATCTAAATTATACTATATAGTTTATGTATACACATACCTACTTAATCACTAAGATTGAGTCATTGTTGAAGTTACGATTATTTTTAAATAAAACGAATCGTTGTTTAGTTATACAATAGGTTTTATTACTACCTATGTTTCTAGCAGAAAACGTGCACACGATACTCAAGTATAGTCTGTGTAGCTTTCACACATGACACATCAATCATTATGTCTCAAAATATTTAGAAACCTTATATACCTACTTACAATACTGTACAATTTTGATCGAAACTATCTCGTTGAAATAATTAGTAATTACTTAGTTTATAGGTAGGTACTGGACTACTGCATGCGGTATCGCACCATCGTTTATTTCATTTGAAGTTATTTTTAGTTTTATAAATTTAAAAATATTGAAAGTAACTAATTACATCAGAGTTACAAACGTTTTCTTCTGTTGTTTGGTAACAAAAAGTTATCTAGTTAGGTACCTTTTAATAGGTAGCCTTTATGTAACTTAGTTATTTTTTTTTAAGTAACTTACCCAACATCGTAAATCAGATATACATATTATACAGATATACGTATGCAGATAATATTGACTATTGTCGTACAATCAATACACACTATTACTCGTATTAACTATTATTAGTAATAGGTCTATCGTTATTAGAGATTATAATTACCTAATGGCTAATATTTTTATTATAATATCAAACATAAATAATTTTGAAACAGTGCTTCTAAAATTGTTAAAAGTGAAACCGTAGGCGAAAAGCATAATATTAATATAATATTATTATCAGGTGAAAGAGAAAAGTCATTTTTTGGTGAAAGGAGTAGGTACCGTCCATATAGGATTTTATATAGAAATTATACTGAGTGGTTTTTATTAAACACTCACTAGACATTTTGATGAAAGTATTTAGCTTTTGGAAATATAATTTTAAATAATTTAAAAAATTTTAATTCTTACTATTGATCAGAATCATTTAAAAGATACCAAAAGTAAAATACTTTTTCAAAATGATTAAGCTGTTCAGTATGTATACTAACATTATCAAAAATAAATTATATTTTTTAAATTACACAATTGCTGTAACTTTTTATTAGTCGAATAAAAAGTTATAGGTAGGTTTTAAAAAATCCACATAAAGGCAGGTAAAATTAAAAGTTGGAAAATATGACTATAACTTTCTATAATAAAATGCTCACTATTTCCATTGTATATCAGTATTTAATACATTTTAGATTCTGAGCTGAGTAATGATTTTACAATGATGTGTGTGTGATGTTTTTTTTTTTACTTTACACTATGAGTACTTCAGTATCTCTTCCGGCGGAAAATTGAATTTAGTTGGTACATTGGGAACTGGGAAGGTCATAAATTAGAATTCTCAGTAGTTTTCAAAGGCGCATGAAAAAAGAAAAAAATAAGACGACGGTGGCTAAACCTCGCAGCGAATGACGAAACTATCCGAGTGTTCCTTGTTAATTATGATAATTCATCTACTTTTCCATCTGTTGAAACATCGGATTATTCGGATTGATATTCAAGCTTAGATCATATTCAAGGAACACTTTTATCATAAACTTGTTATCATGTGTAATATGTAAGATAAATATATCTTATCATGTCATCGCCTTCCGCGCACCACCTTATTTAGTAGGTTGGCCTTCGGATGGATCGAGAGCAATCAGATTGTCCATATGATTTTTAAGATTGTTCAAGGAACATCGAAAAACATCAGATTGCTAATCTGATAAACCATCAAGTTTATTGAGGAACACGCGGTATTATTACTATTGCGCGAAAAGGGAAGAGAATCGGAATACAGCATGCAAACACACCGCTGTCCTGATATACTTTCCGTGATTTTCTCCCTGGCGTCCCGTCGCCACCTTGTCTGCTAGAGAGCCTATATAAGCTATATGGGCTCTCTAGTGACTGCCACAGCCGATGGGCCCACCATGGAGTCACGCACTACCGAACCCTGAAACGTTTCGTTTCCTCAAGCCCAGCGCTGCTGACATCTGTGTTCCAAGTTACCCTATAATATTATAGTCATCTATCACTCACGTTCTGTGAGCTCTGTGGTCTCCGTCACTGCCATCACACGAGTCGTCTTCGTGCAGCACTGCAGTTGTCAGTGGCAGTCGCGTATTTACGGAGGGAGGGGGGATCAAGGGGATCAATCCCCTCCATAGGATGTATATAATATGCGAAAGTTTTTGGAGTCCTAACTTAAGGCCTCTAACTTTAAAGGCGGGTCTACTGGATAAAATCATATCCCCCCTCCCAAGACAAAAACCAAATACGCCACTTGTTAGCGGTACCGCTAGCCTCCGTCGTCGTGGCTTACGACCGAAGAAGCCGGGCCTCATCTCGCCGCCTGCAGAGGATCTCGTCCAGTTGAATGATGTTCGATGCCTCGATGCCTGCTAAGTGTGCTGCATAGAATTTCCCCCAAATCCAAAATAGTTCTTCTTGAAAGTTGACAAATATACTAAGTCTTGTTTCCATTGTCTGGTATGGTACTCGATGTGGTTTATATAATATTGTTTATGACGTCCAATCATCCATTATGATTTATTAGACTTGGTGGGATGCTCCGTTATTATGTAACTCGGTCATTTTCACTGCAAATATATAGTGCGAGTATAGGGAGTCAGAATTGCAAATGAGCCGATTCCGAATTAGTTTTTAAAATAAATTATAATACTCAAAGTGGCCCACATTTCTATAAAATTTGAAAATTATATTTATATTTTAGTGGTAACCTTAATTACTTTTCCACTAATCTACTGTCCGATATCTATTTAGGGTGGTGAGGGGTGGGGTGTATATAGTGTATTATGCCAATAAAATTATTTCACAGGAAAAACTCTCAGGGTGTTATTGTTATAGATTTGTCGGATTTTGATAACCATTTTTTGATCTAAAAGAAGAAGTTTTTCTACAGGCCTCATTGAACTCAATTTTTTATTTCATTTCAAATAATGGTACAAAATAATTTGTAAAACAAAAGATTAAACTTGTCTTAATTTTATTATTTTAAAGACTTATTATAAAGTTTTAGATTAAAATATTGAAAAACGTAATCAGTGTGGCCTGTAGAATAAAACCCTCTATTAGTAAAAGAAAAAAAATCATAACATTTTGTTGATTTTATAGGGCAGGATTATTATTCCCGTAAAGTGTATTTTTGTGGACAGAATCACATTGGCACCGGAGGCCTTTAGTTAAGTTAAAATCATACACCTACATAGTACATAATAATATTATCTTTAACTATATATAATTAATTGAATTATTTTTTTGTTTCATCATTTTGTAAATACAATGATATTTGAATAAAAAATTAACCATTAATTAGTTTAGTTGACCCAATCGTGTAATGTCGTAAACATACTACAGCTATGAGCTACTGAACAATAAGATGGATTACTAGCAGGATACTAGGAATTAGTATGCATTCTTATGAGGATATCAGAGCATTATTTGTTTTCTCTCTCTGATCAATGAGAAAAATAGGAAATTTGAGTTCAGCAGAATCAATCTTGTGTTGTTAGATTTAATTGGAATTAATTGATTGTCCATAAATATAAAAGTAATTAGTAAAGAATATTATCTGTGTTTGAACGTTGTCTCTTTACAATGTTGCAATTTTAAAGTGAAATAATATATGTGCAATTTTAAATTTTAATATGTAACATATTCGCATAACTTACGTAAAAATATCGCAAACAACCCAACATCCATATTACACAGATAATTGTATTAATTTTAAGTTTGGCAATAGGTAAATTCACTCTAATACTAAATACGAAAGTCGGAAGCTATAAACAATGCTCGGATGCGATCTGCCGAACGCAAATTGTCAAAATTACTCGTGGGTCAGGGAGAGAAAACAAGTAGTGCACTGCGCCACTGCAGACGTTCATTAATGATAGTTTGGTACATGGTTTTTCAGTGTTATAAACTAATGTTATAAAACAGTGTTATAAACTTTCAGTGTTATTGGCTATTAGCAGTTAGCACAGGCAGTCTGCTGTTTTTTAATTAATTTATAATTCTATCACCACGTTGCATTTTCATATTTATGCTGTTTATTATATTTCGTTGTACGAATATTAATATATTATTGTGTAAATGTTTGAACTAATGTTCATGATGAATCCTTCAAAATGACCTTTAACTTATTAAAATCAGTTAAGAATGAATAAAACTATCCTGCATACAAAATACCTACCTATAAGATGAAATTAATAATAACTATATATTATTCATCCGTATTTTTAATATTACTCTGTTATAAATATAAATATTTTGAGTGCATATATATTTTAGATGTAACAGTAAGAGGTCAATTTATATTTAATAATATCTTCTATTAATCTCCAAAAAAAATATTCCCATAATAAATTATAAAAACAATTTATATCTATGAACTTATTTAATTAGTTAGGTATGTATTTTATTTATTTATCCATATAGTAATTATAAATTATTAGTAAATGCTTATAATATAGTATTAAGTGAAAACACTTAAGATATTTAAATCTAAAGTCATAGATTTCTAAATGTTTAATAGTTTTCTTATTGTTCCGTTGTAACTTGTATAGTCACAAGTCACAACAATGCGTGTTTGTTTGAATAATAAATATTTTATAATATATACCCTTCAAACGCCACAAACATACACGTAGCTATCCTGACCAATGGTGTACTAAAATTAGGTATAAATTAATACTAATAAATATTCATCGTGTATTTTCACATACGACATGCCTACAAACAACGATTGCCACATATAACTATATAAGTTTTACATTTTTACGAGCCATTATAGTATTATACCAATACGTAATACTACCTGAAAATATGGCATTGCACTTCAAAATTGTTGAGCAAAATGTACACATAATTTACCTTTATATTATAGGTACATATATAATAATATACTTATATACCTATATGGCTATATATTATACACAATACATTCATATTAACATTAAACTAAACTATTATAATAATTATTTATTTATAACTATCAAGTAATAATTACCTATATCTTATAATAAGCCTTTATCTTAATTTGTATTTTTTTTTAATTATTATTGTACTCTGTTCCCTGTTCACAAGGTCCCCCAGGGAGGTATCCCGTCAATAGACGATAGATTAAGGACGAACACTGCAAATGCGCTAAATCAAAAGTTATGACTTATGAGCTAACGAAAATCCATCATTAATTAAGTTTTTGTCTTTTAAATATTTAATACGGACTGTGTAGCCTATGTAAGACTACAGTGAATTATTAAAAAGTATTATATTAAATTTTAATTATATTTTTATATAATTAAAAATGTTTATAAAAAACTACATACGTTTTTTAAAATATTACTTCACTTACTTTAAGGCAGAGTACAACTTGAAGTAACGACACCATTTTCAGTTTTTTATTTATGAATTATAAGTATACAAGAGTTATGACTTATGAGTACCTAATAATGTGTAAAAAAGTCTCAAACTACGGTAGTATAAAATCAATTCAATTTAATATTTTTATTTATTTTTTCGCTCTATATGTTTTCACTAATATATTTACATTTGCTCATTTTCATTTGCACGTTTGCGTTTACTCTTTTGCTTTCGATCTTTTGTCGAAGACCTCCCCTAAGCCCTAAGGGGATTTCGCCCACACAACCCAAGTGTAAACCCCCCTTTGCATCTTGAAATTTACTAATTTAACATATTTAAAATAAAATATGTGGAAGATATTATATACCTACATTATGTACCTACATTTTACAATTTTTCATATAATAGAAAGATTATTATACCTATGTGTTGTGATTAATTTTCAGCTAATCCCAATTATGATATCCATATGTATGATGGGATTCAAAAATAGAAATGTTACTGATTATATCAAGATTCTTCAACTACAAAACCATGAGTCACACTGGTTTTTCAAAATTGTTTTTACCCAAATTTCTATTTATGTAAGTTTGTTTTTTACCATGCTTGTCATATGTGGACTATTGATAAAAGAACAAATTCCTAAGAAATTGGTGAGTAAACAAATTATATTATAATAATAATTGTATGTAGTTTACACTTTACAGTTTAGCTAGAAGGTATCAAAGCGTTATATAATGTAACTAGGTAAAGACTAAAGAGTTATGGTACCGATATAGGTATTACTGATAAATAATAACCTACCTATTGGATGAATAATTATAGACAATACTATTCGAATGACATAAGTACATAATATATATTATTATACGATATACCTGTACCAATATCATCACATATTATAAAAGCATTATAATTGTTAAAACAATTTAAAATGATCAGGGGCGGACTGAGTTAATATTTCAGGCCGGGAATTTTTTTTTGCCAGGCCAAAAATTAATAGGGGACCAACGATTTGGTCATAAGTGTGCAAAAAAAAAAAAATAATAATAATGATAAAAAACCTTTATTATTTAAAAAATATTTTCAAAATTTTATGTAAGATATATGAAACTACACATAATATATGAGATATTTTTTTATAGATACAGTGTATACAATTTAATATAACACCTATATATATTAAAATTAACTCTTAAAATAATTCCTTTTTTTACATAATTAGGTTTTTTTTCATAACTTCACTAGTTTTCCCAATTCTGTCGATTAAAATATCGTCATCTATAGATACTAATGTTCGCTTTTCCACGGACATCAACATAAACGCTTCCAAATGCTCATTAGTTAGAGTATTTCGTAATCGATTTTTTTTATGAATTTTAGAGTTGAAAATGACCTCTCACATGCTACTTGTGTTACCGGTAGAGTTAAAAGATAATTATAAGCCAAAGATAAATTTGTATACGCATTACTATACAAATTGTATTTTACTAATAATTTTAAACAGCAACAAGCACAATTTTTGCATGTTTTACAGGTCATATTTAATCCGGCAGTTTCTTCAGCTTCTTGATATTCATCTTCTGAATCGAAATTTTCAAAATCATATTCGTCTTCAACTGATTTTTTTAAGTTATCCCAATTATTACCAAAACTTAGTAATTCTTCTCTTAATTTTTGATGGTATTCTTTCAAATTATCATTGACTGTAAATCGGATTAAATTTTTAGAGAGAACTTTCCAGGCGGTTTTTGGTAAACCATGTTTAAAACTATTGAAGTTGACTGGGGATAGAAGCGATAAATCCATGTATAATGGACTATACTAGCTGATAATTGATATGGTAATACCTACCATATGCATTATGTTTATTATATTTTTATGTTTATTCGTATACTATATTTTTAATTTCTAAAATATTATCAGGCCATTTAATCTATTATTGTACCAGGCCACCGGGATTTGTCCCGGTGTCCCGCCAGGCCAGTCCGCCCCTGAAAATGATATAAATATAAAAATAAATATTTTCAAAAAAGCATTTTTTTATAGTTTATTATACAATAAGTAGGTAGGCAATCTATTAAACTATTAAATTACCGGAATAATTAATATGATATACAACTAACAAATACTTTAAAGTCTCATAAGTAAGAAAATGTTATTAATTGTTATAATTATTATTTATTTATGAAAAATACATTTTATCTTGTGAATTATTTAATTTATTAATAATCATAATATTCCATGTTATGCTTTTAAATTTTAATGTATATATTATGATTTATGATACTCTACAGGTACTGGTTGGCTCAGTCGTACAAGTACTTTTATGTATTGCATCCTCATTTTTTTTACTGCAATTTCATAAAGATTTGGGCAAGTTTGAACTTGTTCTATGTTCGTCAGCATTCGGATTTAATGGCTTGTTGTTTACAATTGATGCGATAATTATGTTTCAACAAATCGTATTTTCACGTTCACGATAAATTATAAACCATATATTATCCTACATATTTTTTATTACTTATGTATACCATATTATTATCAAAAATTGTACCTAAATATTTGTTTTTTACTTTAAATATAATGTAATAATTATTTTTATATTATATGTATATATTTATTAAAAAAAATAAATATAAATTTGGGCACCTATACTCATTGATATCAATCATATAATGATTAGCGTTTTAAAATATTTTTCCTACCTACTAAAATTTACAAGGATAGGTACATATTTTATAATACCTAGTCTCGTTTCAATCTGGTGTGTAATAATTTAATATCTGGTCTAACATGGTTTTTAAAATAAAAAAATATAAAACTTCTATCAGATAACTAGTACAGTAACAAACTACAAAGTAGGAAGTAAGAAGTATGAGTTATTCTTATTCCAAAACGTATTGTCGGCTCAATCGATGTTTGTTTTCTTCTTGGTCCAATACGGTACAGTACTATAACAGTAATACATTATACCTGTATACCTACCCTATTAAATTCTAAAAACCGACCAACATTTCACTTCCGCACGCTCACTGCAGGATCCTTTACTGTTATTATTTATTTCTTCCATTAAAAATTCCACTCTAACAAATAAAAGTAAAAAAAGTACAAAAATTTGCCACAAAATTGGCTAAATACAATGTAAAACAAAGGGAAAATATGGTGATAGGGTTTGGGGCAAATTCCCCCTTCCCCCCAGTCATAAAATCAAATACCTACCATTAACTATAATAAGGGACACGGTGTACTAAAATATTAGGCGTGTTTTTGAGCTTAACCGAAATATGTTAGTATAAATTGGTTGCTATATTTTATAAACAAGTCGTTTTCACTGTCTTGGTTATATTTTTGGTAATAAGTTTTGGTTGTAGACCATAGAGTATATAGAGATGCCCTATCAGAATAAGTATTATGAATTATGTGAAGCAAAACATGTCGGATTTGGTTTCCAATAACTAACAACGCAACTGATAGATAGCGCTAATTTTCAACTTTTCGTAAATCCCAGCAATGTAATATTTTGAATATTATGTTATAATACTTTCTACTCAGAAACTATTTTAAGAACAAACCTAAGATGCTGGTGTGTTACAATAATTTAAGTATTGATAGTACTGATAATTTCCTCACCAAAAACTTACTACCCTCCCATAACATATTATAATAGTATTTACGTATTTGTGCAAATCAAGTTCAGTTCAGTAATATTATAATAATTAATATTATATTGATAGTTATAAATAAAGGTTAATATAACCATAGAACAATATGATATAATTGAGTAATAATAATGAGTAATATAATGAAATTACAATAAATATTGTATTATAGTTCATATACAATAAAATATTTTCTATAGTTTGCCTACACTGTTTTGTTTCCATTTCCGCTTCATATTATTTCAATTAGGGCTCCTCTCTATACTCTATGTTGTAGACCTATAAACTAATAAAGTTAATTAGGTCTATGGTTTTCGGTAACTGATCATTTATAACCATCAAAATGAAATGGTTATATGGATAATATACAAAATAAATCTCCCGGTGAACAAATTGTTTTCATCGTCTCCCGATATTGTATATAATTTTGCATATATTTTTCAGACATATTAAGGAATATTTACTATAAGTATTTCAGTATTTGACATATTTTTTTCTTTAAAATAATTTTAATAATAATATTATACCTATAATATTTTGCTGTATTGTCCATATTAATCTTGAGGAGTAAGATAGGCAACTATTATAACAATCTCCATTAAAGATATATTTTATTATAATACTAGCTCTAAGTGAAACTCGGGGCCCGTGGAACTCGCTGAGAGTGGGTACCGATTTTGGAGACAACGTCGTTGGTATTATAAAAGTCTCAAAGGTTGTAAGACGAAAGTTTAGGATTTGTGATAAGGAGTAGTGATATGGATTGGAGATAAGGCTTGGCGCTTTGGCGGGAATGTTTAAAAGTTTTAACGTCTAGCAATCCGTCACGAACGTTGTAAATGGATACGATCTCTAGGATCTCTAGGCGTTTGTCATCTGCTTTTGGTTGTTGAAATTGTTAAAAAGTGTAGAGTCGATATGTGTATTTGATTGTCTAGCTATCAGTCATCAAATCACATAGGTAAGCATATGCGAAGCGTAAATTATCAAGTATGCACTCCACCTGCGGTGGATTGCGGACCCCGTTAGTTGAGCAGATAAGTGAATAATCAAAAATATAGATTCTAGTTGGCCCATGAGACTCGCTGAATTTGGGGGTACCAATTTTGGAGTAAGAGTCGTTTAAATTATAAAAGTAGCGACAGTCGTAAGATGAAAGTTTAGGATTTGTGATAAGAATTAGTGATATGGATTGGAGATAAGGCTTGGTGCTTTGGCGGGAATGTTTAAAAGTTTGAGCGTCTAGCAATCCGTCACGAACATTGTAAATGGATACGATCTCCAGGATCTCTAGGAGTTTGTCAGCTGCTTTTCGTTGTTGAAATTGTTAAAAAGTGTATATTCGATATGTGTATTTGATTGTCTAGCTATCAGTCATAAAATCACATCGGTAAGCAATATGCGAAGCGTATATTATCAGGTATGCACTCCACCTGCGGTGGATTGCGGACCCCGTTAGTTGAGCAGATAATAGTGAATAATCAAAAATATAGATTCTAGTTGGCTTATGAGACTCGCTGAATTAGGGGGTACCGATTTTGGAGTAAGAGTCGTTTCAATTATAAAAGTAGCGACAGTCGTAAGATGAAAGTTTAGGATTTGTGATAAGAGTTAGTGATATGGATTGGAGATAAAGCTTGGCGCATTGGCGGGAATGTTTAAAAGTTTGAGTGTCTAGCTATCAGTCATCAACGGTGTAAGTATGCATATTTTACACTTCTTTTTTGTGGTTTTTGGGTCTGTCCAAAAGTTTGAAGTCAAAAAACCATTTACCTAATCGATTGTCTAGACTATCAGCGCACTTTGTTCAACGTGTAATTATGATCCATATTGCACCAGCGACCAGCCCTTTTTGTTAGTAAAAAAGTGTGCGTCGATAATTCGATTATTAAGTCGATATTTATAAAGTTCATTAATTTACAAAAAATAGAAAATCCCAAAGTACCTATATATTTATATAAATGTGTGTTTATTGTATGATAAATGATAAAAACATATTATAAACACAATTAGGTGTCATAATAAATTACACTGTCTTAATGTACCTAATTAATTCCAAGAAAATAAATATACGATCATTGTTATGATCAGATCAAGGCTATTTAGTGCATGTTATTAACAAAATTAATCATAGGGATTTCAATATTAAAATCCATTTGAATATGGTACATTGCCATTTTTGTTGTTTTGTTAAAAAATATAATATGTTTAGTATACATACCTATCTATTACATCGTTTTTAATAAAAGTATAATTTAACTTAACCTAACTTGCAGTATGTCATTGTTACTATTAATATTATTTATTTATTTTAACAAATTGTGTGTGTATTTGAACAGTTTGATTTAGTATGGTATGTATAATATATTGAATCAAAAACAGTAGGTAAACAATATTTTAAACAGAAAGTCGGATGTTAGTTACGTACAGCGCCGGATCATAGCTTTTTAACACCCAGGGAAAATTAAAAAAATACGCCCATCCAGGGGGATGACCAGAATTAGTATTTTTTTTTACGAAAAATCAAGCACACTCACACAGTATTGCGAGGAACTGAGGACCAACATTTACAAAACCTTTCCAAATGCACTGCAGGACCAATCATTTACATAGGCGCACATAGGGGGGTGCTTGGGGGTGCTTAGCACCCCCAAGCTTCAAACCAGCACCCTCAGTTTATTTCGGTATTTCACCAATCATTTATAAACTATCGTGGTTTATTGCCTATTGGTTCGCAATTTTTCTTTTTATTACAAATATTGACAACTGTTTACGAATTCACGATTAAAACAGTATTGTGTGAATGCATGGTTCAGTGTTTCAGTTTTTGTCAAAACATTAAACAGTATGTAGCAATCATATTATATCATATCATTAAAGAAAATTATATTATCTTACTGGTTATTTATATTTCCATTGTATATGCATGATAAAATTTTCTAAATATTTTGAGTTATTTTGAGGTTTTTATGGACATTTTTAGTTTCCATTTTGTTTAGTTTTTTTTCTATAAGTATCAATAAAATTTTATTTGTTGGGTATAAAAGCTTAAAAATGTAATAGAAGGCTCCTAATATATTGTTTTCAAATTTTATGAAATATAAAAACAAAGTTACACAGTAAATTTTCTCATATTTATAGTGTGAACATTTAGTTTCTTACTTTCTTAGCTTAGAGTACAGCCTTAAAGTTTTTTATACCCATGCAAAACAGTTTTGCCTATGTTGTACCTACGTTTGTAATACGGAGACAACACATGTTGGTGTACCTAGCGTCTTCTGTACAATCATACAGACTATTTGATACATTGCACTTTAGATATTATTGAATACACTATACAAATTAAATCTAATGCAATGCAGAAATATTAGGATTTAGGGGGGTGTGGGGGGCAAAGTCCCCCACGGATCTGTGAATCATAAATTATTCCAGCACCCCCTAAATTCACACCCAATGTGCGCCTATGATCATTTATTTACCACAAATAATTTGAACGATTTTAACTTAAAAATGAAACATTTTAAAATTTAAACTATTCACGTAATATAGTTTTAGAAGCACTTCTTAATGGTGTATTTAAAGCTAAAATCTGTGGTCAATATTTCTAAGTTCCAGGTTTAGAATAAATAATATTGATAATAATAACATGTATGAATTATTTATTAACAAATCTAAATTAGGTATCTATTGCTTACTTTTAATATAGGACGCTTTATGTAAAAGAACAATATTTAATTTACAACATACCTATCAATATTATACATTTTCATTTTTAATAATTGTTACAATCAAAACTAATAATATGTACCTAGGTACGGAATAAA